TTTTTCCCAGATCCTCTTTTGTTGCCAGTTCAGAGAGTCCAGGTGGTTGAGTATCAGATTGTTCCGTCTCGTTTCCCTTTGGGGTTGCTGTAGGTGATCCAGAAGTCTGTTTTTGAGGCTTGTTTATGTGTCTTCCCATTTCCATGGGTGGGTGGGGGTGCTTCTGGCACCCACGTGGCTCACCTTCTCTGCCCTGGGAGCTTGGGATGGCAGCGGGGGAGCTTCCTTCCAGGTGCTGGTACTGGCTGAGCTTCACTGCCCTAGGAGCCTGGGATGGAGGTGGGGGAGCTTCCTTCTGGGTGCTGAGACCGGCTCACCTTCTTGGCCCTAGGAGCCTGGGATGGAGGCAGGGAGCTTTCTTCAGGGTGCTGGGACCTGCTCACCTTCTTGGCCCTAGGAGCCTGGGATCTATACTCTATAGAATTTCAAGAATCAGTATAGGAAATAAATACCATGGAGTCACATGGTTGTGGTTTTACAAGTATACCCTGTTCTTTCTAGCTTTTCACACCTTTATATATCCCATTCTCTCACTGGAATCCCTTTCAGTCTTTCTTTCCCTGCTCCCCACCCCCTACACTAGGAAGGGATGCAAAGACCCAAATAGAGGCTGCTTGTGATGGTGGTGCTGACCCCTCTCAAAGCACTTAACAAGCTGTGCACTCACAGGCCTGACTTCCCTATGAGTGTGTGCACGTTGTATCCACTCATATATACCAAAGGTTAGTAAACACTTGTTAGGGACTGATTACTTTCAGTGACTTTGCACACCTCTCTTTTATCTTGCATTTCAGTGTAATTCCGAAGTCTTCCCAGTAGGGAAGTCTGCATCACAAAATCTGCAAAAACCCTCAGTTCTCCCTGCTTCCTTTTGATTATTACACTTCTAGTCAACTTCCCTCAGTCCTCGGACTGGGTTCTTCATATGTGGACAACCTCTGGAATCTAAAGGTGGGTTCTCTTAACTATCCAACCAGTTAACAAAGAGCAGCAAAAAATGATCTTTCAATAGAGGTGTGTCTGCTACTTTCCAAGTAGAGGGGCTCTCTGCTAACTCATCACATCCAAACCCCTCAAATGGACTCAAGTGGCCTCCCTGTTCCCCTGTCAGCAGAAATTATGCCAGTGTCCAATCTTTCCAATGACTGACATAGTATGAACATCGAGGGTAGGATCTGTACACTCCATTTTATGCCTTGGTTCAGGATCTACTACAGTACTACCTACACCATTTGAGAAAGCATAATTTGTAGAATTCTGTCTGGACTGTCTTCTTGTACTCTGGACTTTCAATTTCTGCTTACAAAAGGAGCAGCATTAGACCTATAGTTTGGAGTTTACGCACAGTAGTGCCTATAACACCTACCACAGGATGCTGCTGATGCTGACATTTTACAAAGATTAAATAGATGTCTGTTCCTGGCCATTAATCTTACTGTGATTGTGGTCAGGGCATGAGGCATTTGCACTTGCTGTCCACCTGGGAATG